TTCTTCCATGATTCTACCATGAGCTAGGCATAAAATGTCCAAATTACTTTGTGGTCGTAGGTATTAAAAAAAAAGGAAATATTTCAAGTTTTTCTTTGTCTCTCTCATGGTAGAGATAAGAAGTTAATGTCATGTAATCATATGTTTACAATTTTTTCAAATTTATACATTTGACAACATCTAATTGTCAAAATCTATATTCCTATGCAAGCCACACTGCTTACAACTGGTTGTACAACTGAGAGAGGTTGTATTCAAGATTGTATCGTTTGTGACCCGGTTGTACGAAATTGTTCATTGTACCACGGTCTTTATAAAAATTGAGAAAAAATTGTTGTTAAATTTTTTTCAATTTCAAATCTTGAAATACATCATTAAAAAACGCTTCGTCATTTTTTTAATAGGAATTCAAGCAATTACTTCAACTACATATGAAAAGAGAGGTTACCACAGACGGACATATGTAAACCATCTTAGAATTATACGCTGATAATTTGCCAAGTTGATCGTACATATAATTTCGTAGAAATAAAGCTGTAATTTTCACAATTACTGAAATAATTATCCTACAAAATATATCCTACACAGCCTTCCTCATCGACTGCTCAAAAAATTCTAACCGAAACCACGTTGACATGGCCCTGTTTTAGAGACACATCTATCGAGATCGAATAATATATCAAGGACATGCTAATCCAAATTTTTTAATGTGTACTTCTCGGCATATGTGTGTGTGCGCTATAGCATTCTTGTTCACGCTTAAGCAGAATGATGTGAATGTATGAGTTCATTCATTTAATTTTAAACGTTTCCAAATAACGACCAACTGCTTCATTTATACCTAGTGTCCGCTACTTCGTCAGCGAAAAGTACACCAATAACAAATTTAGTACTATTTAGTACTTTTCGTAACATTATAGATCACATTTCCAAAACCACCTCCATATCTCCATTTCAGAGAACCAACAGAGAACTCAAGAACAAATTTGAGGATTACAGCCCTATCACTTCACCCAAACCTCTCCAAATCTTAACCACAGACGACAACAGTGACATCCATTTCAAATTTTAGGATTTCAGATCTATTTCCTCACCTAATACCAAATTTAGTGCTATTTAGTACTATTCGTACAATTATATAACACATTTGCAAAACCACCTGATATCTGGAATTGAGGTATTCCAGATACCAACAGTGACATCTATATCAAATTTCTGGATTTAAACTTTTTTCCCTTCAACCAAGATCAAATTTAGTACACATTTCCGAAACCTCCTCCATATGTCCGTGTTACATATAAACAGTGACCCTATTACCAAAGATGTTATGTTTACCCAACACCAAATACAGTTTAATACTTATTTTCAAAACCAAATTTTTATTACAAAGCCACCACTAACAGCCCAATATAAAACTGTTTCAAATTTTCAATTTAGTACAGTTTGCACACTTAGTACAGGTTTCCAAACTTACTTTCCATCCTAGATTTTCATACCAAATTTCAAGTTTATAGCTCTATCCGTTCACATAATACTAAGAAGAAGTTTAGTTCCATTTAAGTACATCTATCCTTCTCTACATCAGTGACTCTCATTCCAAGTTTCAAATTCTAGCTCATTCCGTATGCCCAATACAAAGTATTACATTTTTAGTACATCTAGTTCTTTTCGTATTTTTTAGTACGAATTTCCAAAAGCCAAGCCTCACAACACGCCTTCGCACCAAGACTGAGCCTTGTACAAAATTTCAAGATTTCAGCTTCAGCCATTTCGTCTGGGCGTCGATTCACGGTCAGTCACTTAGTTATTTCATTTCCCCTTTAATATATATAACATTTTCCAGACAACATTTATTTCATTGTTATTGGCATAACATATATAAAAATGTCCCTATATTTTAATAATAGTACATACATTGTATACATTTCGTGCTATAAATGAATCACAATTGCAAAATTTGTTTTCACTCTTAGTCCAAAACCACCTACATATATCAAACATACTTTTCCACATTGATTTTTTACCAAATGTTAAGTTTAAGCTGTATCCGCGTACGTAACACCAAATGGTAACTTTTTATAAGCTTAGTACCATTTTAAAAGTTTTCGTAACCTTTAAGTTCGAATTTCCAAAATCTCTTTGGTACACCTCCGTCAGTGACTCTCATTTCAAATTTAATTCTAGCACACTCCGTTTGTCCAATACAAAATATTCAAATTTTTGTACTTTTAGATACATTACACGCCTACAAACTAAGACTGACATTCGTGCAAAATTTCAAGATTCTAGCTACAGTCTTTTCGGCTGGGCGTTGATTTTCAGTGTCAATCAGTTATTTCACTACCCTTTTATATTTACAGATAACATTTCCCAGACAAAATTGATGTCATTGGTATAACATATATAAAAAATTTGTCTGCATTTTAATAATAGTACACACCTTGTACACATTTCATGTAGCACATTAATCACAATTGCAAAACTTAATTCGATGGATTCAATTATGATCACGAACATGGACATCTTTTTCATATTTAGAAAAAATGACTACAGATTAAAAGTAATCCCATACTGCAAGGTCTGTATGAAATGTAAAAAAGCTTTACTCACCGTATACACCTTCAAACATTCCCGTTGTATCCATTCGCGTGGTCACCATTATGAATTTTTCATTACGATCAACTTGAGCTGCTCTCTTATCGTCCTCTTCTTCGACATCGACAATTTTTCGCGGAAATAGAGTAGCATAGATATTTTTACCCTCCAGCGGATCACAGTATCTTGTTTGTGCCAAATTATTTATGTAATTTGAACGTCTCCAACAAACTTCCGTGCTGACAGCAGCACTCATAAAACTTTTAATTTCCACTGCACAGAGGCTACGCAGATGTTGATTTTCATAATCGAAGCTGTTAAATCTCTTAAAGCATTCTATGAGTCTGACAACTGTTTCATTATCCGGTATAATTATGATGGGAAAAGGAAAATCTTCATGCAACAACCCAGAACCCCATGGATTCCAGGTGTCTTCGGGACGCATTGCGGAACAGGTGGATGTCTCCACACTATTGGGCTTCAAAATGCCACTAAATTGGTTTGGACACTTCAGTTCATGTGAGAAGCTCACGGTGTCTCCGGTATAGTTATTGAAGGCATTCAAAACAATGACTGCAGTTATGTTACGGCCACCTTCATTTTTGAGCCGCATCATGTTTGGGCGTGTAAAGAAATCAGATTTTAAAATGGCAGCATACGGTGGAGCAGGTGGTGAGTTCAAAAGGAATTCCAGTTGATTATTATCGTCAACATAGTGCAGAGCTCCCACTGAGCCAGATTCAGCAGCTGTAGATAAAGGAAAAGAATGGTAAAATAATTTTCTTTTTTTACATGGAAAATTTCATTTTCTTCTTACAGGAACATCCAGTTTGGTGGGTACCGTTAAGACGTCGGAAACAAGAGCCTCCAAAGAATGACTCGTAGATCTTCTCATGAAGACGTTTGCCGCAAACTTTACGTGCCAAGAAAAAAAACAACAACAAATGAAAATGATTAAAAAGGTCAGCAAATGGTGCAAGTAAACAAAGCCAAGACTTGGAAATGAGTCACTCGTGCAGTTTGGCTATGAAAAGAAAGTTTGACCAGAGATTTTGAGATTTGTTTTTAATCTGCCTTGCAAAATATCGGGTAGCCTACATCTCCATGTGAAACCTCCTATACTACGCCAATGCACAATCTTCAATCCATCTATCCACCCACCTGCACTTGTTGAGAGCAATGCCAGCAAAACGCATACGAATAAAACGTATTTTACAACCTGAGTCCCATGTAGCTCCATGGCTACGTCTTCAGTATAGCTTTTGTAGCTTCTTTATAATTGTTCTTAATAATTTTATACGAAAACAAATCCGCAAAAATAACTAAAAATTCATTCAAACAACAACAATATGATAAGAAGACAAGAATAACACAGCAAAGCAAATTTGAAGAGGAAGAAGAAGCGGCATTTCACTCTAAATTGATAACAAACTAAATGAAAGAAAAGAAGAAGAAGAATCGGCATTAAGTTGTTAAAACGGGGAATGTCAGATAAGTGCATATACAAGGTAACGCAAATGTAAAAGTAGGAGGATTACTTTTGCGGCACCTTTTATATTAGTGCTGACTACGCAATTAAAATCAAAAAAAAAAAAACAAGAAGAATTAACAACGAAATATGTTATTGTTGCCAGATGGTGAAATATTTGACCTAGGATTAGTTATATATTATTCTCATGTCGAACTTTCTCTATTCCTCATTTAAAAATATTTTTCCGGCTGAAATCAACGCCGTTTTTTTTACTGGCAATGCTAATCCTGTTTATTCGCTTATTCGTAAGGGTTGGAAAGAAAAGGATCCGGTAATTTCGACAGCGCAAACAACCGTCATAATGCCAAAAATAGCTTTAACTTGTGAGACTGAATTTCTCTTTGTTCAGGGTTAAAATCTGAAGCCCAAGTCGGCCGTCAGCTATTTAGATCGAAAGGAAATCGAAACCGTATTCGAATAAATTTCATCATCGTGTTCAATTCTATTTCGCCATTATGATCATAACAAGGCCAACAACGAGCCAAGTAGGTTGTTTGGAAGAATAAAAACTCATATTCCCCAAACGACTCCTATTAGTGTAATTGTCGCTATTATCAGGTCAATTTAGTTGCTAATATATATTCAGAAAGTTATCTGGGCCACAAGATAAGGTCATCCACTTCCCAATTGATATTCGATGCTGTTAGTCCCGACATCAACAAATTAATTTGCTCCAACATGAATGGCATTATCATATTAATTATACATATTAGCAAGGATTTATTCCATTCCAATTCGAGATATTTTATCCCAATACATTTTTAGATAGATTAGATAGATAAATGATAATTTAAAATTCCCCTTTAGACTTCGTCCAAAAATTTCCACGGTATGCGTCGTGTACACAATTCAAATATATCATCATACGAATTAATTTATTTTATCTTAACTTACTTTATTTTTTCTTTTACATAAAAAATACAAAACTAAATAGGTAGTAATATTTCTTCTAAAACAAAGTATCTTCTGAGCGAATATATTCACCAATATCCGACTGATGGAAACACACCGTTGTCAAGGGATCAGCCGTTTTGCAATCCATTGTCGATCTGGCCAGCACTCCAAAACCCAATGGCAAATCATTCATATTATAAACTATAACACCTTGATATTGACCGGCATTTTCGGTTATACGTCCCAATCCCGACTTTGGTATGTGATTGCCATAGAGAAATTGTTGTTCAAACGATTGTTTTACCCACACTTTATATTGGGCATAGGGTGCCAAATAATACAAGGCCGTAATGTGGAATTTCAGTTTGTTCGTTTTGGAGAATTTGCCAAAGCATGTTCCGACAGAGATGAGTTTTTTGTGACCAAAACATTCCGAAAGTTTCAATATTTTCTCCGAAACATAGTAGACACGATCCAAGTGTTCACGGAAACAATAAGTGCCATCGGGACGATCAATCAACTGTTTGACATTGGTGCCAATGCTGTGGAAGGAACGTACAAAAACACGATGAGTTGACTTGAAGAAAAACAACAATAGATTTACTTACTATTTTGATAGCTTTTCAAATAGAATTTTTGCTCTTTCGTCGCTTAAACGCTTCATTGTGTTGTTGTTTTATAAATTCAGGCACAATATGTGCAGTATAGGTGGGATTTAATTTATTTTTTCAAAGAAATTCAATTGAAATAAAAACGCGTTCGACCAAAGGCAACAAATGAATTAAATGTCAAGATTGTTTTTATTTTTGACAGCCACGTGCAGTAGGGTTCGGTAAGTCTAACTTTGAATTATCGATTAATGTTATTTATCGATAAATAGGTTAACTACTAAACAGTTGTAATTTGAAAATTATATCGTGAGGGGTTTTTATTTGAAATACTAGAGTAGAGAGAACTCTGTTAAAGGCCTAAGGCAAGAGGTGTATTCATGCTAGAATCAAATCCTTTGTTGAGAACCTGCAAGAATCTAAAAATGTAACTATTGCCCTATTCCATAACTGTTAACATTTTTATTAAAGTGACCGATTTTTCCTCAATGATATCGAAAACATTTGCAAACTGGTAGAATCATACATGGTGTGTTCCAGAACTGCGAGAATGTAAAGGTTTTCACTACGATAACCGATTTTCACTTTATGATATCACAGAAAATTGCAAACCTAGAAGATTCTTGCAGGTACTGGAGCAGAGCAAGTTGCTCTGTTTAGTTCCTGTTAAGTTTCTGAAATAAAAATATTTTTTTGGTTAGAACTTGGGGCCAAAACCTTCAAGTAGCTGGCGCAATATGGGGTCTATACCTAAAAGTATACCTATATCTTTTGCGAGGAGTAAACCCAAGAAAAGGGAATCTGAATTCTGATTTGATTGGAAACTAGAGGGTGCAGATACCTCAAAAATACTGAAAATCAGACAAAAATCGTTTAACGGGAGTTATACCTAAATGCAAAGCCATATATTAAATTTTTAATACAAAACATCAATATAAATTGATCTGTTCCAGAACTGCAGGAATGTGAAAATTTTAACTACGTTAATCTGATTTCCCTTCATGATACTGAAAAAAATTGCAAAACTAGTAGATTCTGGCAGGTTTTGAAAATCAAAATCAATTTTTGTTGGAATCTCCCGGAGTAGAGTTCGTGTGTCTCACTTAACAAGTGGCACATGGGTGGTATAACCGAGTTCTTTACGTCGATCTCAGCTACCTCATTTTCTAGAATATTGTAGTGGCCTGAAACATAGCTTGTGGGACATCCCAGCATTTCTTTACACTCCAAAACTGCCATATATTTAATCGTATGGCGCAGTCAATCTTTCGGATACTCTGGGATCTTAAGTTATGTGAAATAAATTGGAGAAGAAATCAATACTGGTGATATATAACCACGGTTGAACTTCGAACCACTTGACAGTGACGTGCTGACCCGCAACTAGGCCTCTCTTTGCACGTTCCACAACATTTTTCCAGTTTCCAGTTTTAAATGGTGATCGAAAGTACCTAGGTATTTGAAAGAGGAGAGGGTTAATGTGACTCCATCTAAAATTGCTGGTGAGAATACAGGACGATTGCTTGTCCCCGTAAAGAGGAGGAGTTTTGTTCTTGATGGTTTTACGTCCACTTTGATAGTTTAACGATGGTCTTCCCAGTTATCTCCATTAATTAATAAATTTTGTTTTTACAGTGTGAGATAAAAAACTGCAAACTCCATTTTTTTAATTTTTATTGAATGAAAGCCAAAAATGTCGAAAAAATCATCAACTTTTAGAATAAGTTTAGATTTGTTCGAATTGATCACCTTTGGCACGAATTATGGCCTTCAAACGGCCAATTAAACCGTCACACGCTGCCCGAATGTTGCTCTGCGGTATTGTGGCCCATTCCCGGCGAAGAGCTTGCTTGAGAGGATCTTATTTGCTACGTCCGAAAGATGGCCGTGAAATTCAGATACAAATTTTGAGTTTTTTGTATGTCCCAGGGTAAACAACGAAAAAGAGAAATGCGACAAAATCAAACAACTTTAAAGGAATTCGGTTTTTCGCTTAGAGGTAAATTCCCCAGGTAGGAGGAGCCTATGTAGGCTCAGTAAATTATTTCGATTATCAGATTTAAGTGCAGAATGTATAGTTTATAAAACTTTGAATTTCCAAACAGCTTTTAAAACAAATTATTTTTTATTAAAATTTCTAATTATTTTATTGTTCTATTTCGTTTATTTTTGTTTTCTTTGCTCGTTTAAAGACTACCATTAACAAGTTTAACTTATTGTCTTTTTTAGCTTTTCACGTTCATCAGTACAACTAATAATACTAACTAGGATCTTAAAAACTATACAAATTTATATACTCTTTATTATATACATTATAAAATTAATACTATATATGTGTTTTTATAGGTCAAAATCAAACAGAAATTCTTATTAAGTTATATTTTCTATGTAAATTAACACACAAAAAAAGACACTGAAAAAAATCATCTTTCAAAATATCACTAAAATAGCTTCTTGGACAGAATGAATTGTCAACGGTGTATAAATAAAGCCGGACAATAACAATCATACATACAAATATTATTATTATTATTATGTAAATTATAATTATGTTGTTGTAACCTGAGTCACTAATCACTAATACAAACAATACAATTTGTAACAACAATTTGTTGATTGGTGTACAAAAAGAAGAAAAAAAAAAACGTTCTACAAGAAATCCTGGCTGGGATAATTGTTTTCTAATAGACATTTTTTTGAAATGTATACATCACAAGTTTTCAGGGAGATTGAAGATTATTTTAACTAATTAAAAAAGGAGGCCTTAGGGGGAAAATTATAACCTGTTTGGGTTTTTAGGGAAAAAATCATTTCTTTTGTTTCACTTAATCTAGTGTTTAACACTACAGCCTTAAAAACTATTATCACTTAAACTCCCACCGTTTGCAGTTTATCCTGAGAGTAGTCTCTTTCCTTGAGCAGTTCATCCAATTGTTGTTCCTGATAGTAGACAACAAATTCCGTGGGCGATAAACTTTCAAATAGGGCACAAATACTTGGTTTTAAGTTATAAAAGAATATCAATTGACGTCTTGAGGCAAAATCTCGCAGAAGAGATTCAATGACGGTGGCTGCTGTGAAATCAGCACCATAAATATGTGAGGCATCTATGACAACGGGCACATTGTTGCGCAGAGATTGTTTATTTACCAAATTCCGTACATAGTCGACGGAGGGGAAGATGATGCAACGATCAGGGGTGATCATGAGATATTCTGTGCCACCGGGAGTTGTTAGGATTTCCGTTGAGAGTTTGGGCCGAGCAGCACTGTAGAGTATGAATATGACATTAAGACCGACGCCAATTAGAATGCCCATTTCGAGAGGTAAAACTAGGCAGGCAACAAAGGTAACCAAGCCGGGCAGCAAATCGCTTTCTAGAAAAGTTAAGAAATAAATTTGGCGATTTAACAAATTGAATTTTGAAGGTTTAAAGGAAAAATGTAAACTTACTTTTTGCCCTCCACATGGGTTTGACAACCTTAACCTCCACCATAAATACCACAGCTGCAATGATAATGGCAGCCAATGTGGCATTGGGAATGTAATAGAAATAGGGTGTGAAAAAGATCAAGGAAATAATGACCAAAGCCCCAGAATAGATATTGCTTAGGGGAGTTCTCACACCACTGGCATTGTTGACAGCACCGCGACTTAAGGCTCCTGTGCCAGGGAAACCTTGGACAAACGAATTGGCAATATTGGCAGCACCTATGGCAATTAACTCCTGGGAGGCATCAACGGGTTTGCCGTTAGCTGTTATTAAAAAAAAAAAACAACAAATGCTAATTATTTTCAAATTTCTTTCAATACTCCCAATATCTGAAGCTTACCAAAAGCCTTGCATATGGCAATGTTTTCCATGAGCGATATCAGTGGTATTACAATTAATCCCGAACCCATGCTACGCATCATATCAACAAAAGTTTCTTCTTTTCCAGTCAATGTTTCATTAACACTCAAGTGAGTAGGGGGCAGGGCGAAACTAGGCAATCCTTGTGGTATATAACCAATGACCTTGAATGGTGTTCCTTCATGATAGGAGTGCAGCAGAACACCCATAATACAACATAATATAACCAAAATGGCATTACGTGACGTACCCACAATCCAAATGATTTTGTTGATGACATTCTGGGTCTTCGAGCGCAAATGGGGTTCTTTGGGACCAATTTTACAGGATGGCAACAGCTGGAAGTAATGATAGCAAATAATTAAATAAATGTGGATAAAATTGATGTGGAATATTAAAAAATACGGGGTGAGATGAAAAAAACTGTAACCAACTTCAGACTGCTGTCATAACTAAGCCACTCGTCCGACAGCTGTTGAAATTATTCCAGCGACAGTTCATTATATTGTTTACAAGCGCACAAAAGCATTTTTGGTGAGAATTTTCCAGAAAAAAAAGTAATTCGTGGTATGGAATGCAAGCGTGATAGTGTGATTTCTTTATATTTGGCTGGAAAATCACAAGTGGCTATCGTTAGAGTACTCCAGCATTTAAATGTGAATAAATCTTTTGTGTCTCGTACCACAGCTCGTTACCGTGAGATACTGATAGCGTAGCTCGACGTCAAGGAAGTGGACGGAAGAAAACAGCAACATCAGCAGAAATGGTTCGAAAAGTAAAGAAGCGACTTGATCGACTTGGCCGAAAAATGGCTTGTGAGCTGAACATATCGCCATATTCCATTCGGCTAATATTAAAAAATGAGCTCGGGGTAAAGTCATTGAAATTCCAAAGAGTACAAGAACTTATACCGCAACAGAAAGAAAATAGTCTCAAAAGAGCTCAAGAGTTGCTTGGCTTGGCCGAAAGTGGTGAACTGCCGAATTTGCTTTTCTCTCTCTCCGATGAGAAAACATTCGTTGTCCAGCAGTTTGTAAACAAACAAAATGATCGTGTTTACTTGCCGAAGAGGTCAGCTGAAAATGTGCATCTTCGGCCGTGGTATCAGAATAAATGCCGAATATTATCGCGAAAATATTCTGGAGGGTGTATTAAATCATTGGGCACGCAAACATTTTGTCCGCATGCCTTGGACATTCCAACAGGTCTCAGCACGCGCCACCCAAGAATGGTTACAAAATGAGGTTCCTCACTTCATTTCCAGCGCACAATTGCCACCAAAATCTCCTTATACCAATCCTGAAATATTGGAAACCAATCTGGAATATTTTGGA